CCATATTATATTTACATTACCACAGTGAGATGATTTTAGTCTCATGAACAACATGAGCTAATTGTTATTTACTAGCTAATCTTAAATGACTGTTCAGTACAGAAATGAAGCCCAACTATCATGTTTTACAGTCCTGTGGTCTCAGCCTCAGATACTCAACTAATCAAAGTGATGTCATGACAAAAATGAATGAGCAAAAAACCATTTTTTCTCCTTCATTTCTGTCAAACACAGCTGTATGAAACATTTCTCGCGGTCAGTATGATGGTTGCTAGGCAACCTGAAAAGCGCGACGAAGGCTAGTCCCATTTCACAAGCCTCTCACTTCCGCACTTCTCGTACTTATAGTACGCACCGTACGTAGTACGCGTAGTGCTCGTACTTCAAGCGTGCGGTCTCTTAATTGGGACTCAGCCTGATTCAGCTGTGTTGGAGTAGGGTTGCATCTAAAAGCTGGAGGACAGTAGCTCTCGAGGACTGGAGTTGAAGATCCCTGGATTATGGACTCTGAAATTAAACATACTGTATAATCCTGTGGTCATGCTATTAATAATGTCCTCTTGTTGGCCATGCTTGGATGACACAGGTCTTCCACTGATTGAGAGCGTTTTCATTTTAAAAGCCCTGATTGTTCCATGTGGTTCCAGATATCAGCCACCATCTGTCGCAAATGTCCTTTTTAATCTCCCAATGTTAAAACCTTAGCCTCCTCTTTTCTCTTGTCACTTTCATTTTCTACTTGCATTTGGCTGCACTATAAAAGCCTGGAAAACACTCCTTATGCACACAGCAGTCATACACAAAGTCATATTCAGGAACACAGCTGTTTATCTCTTTTTTGGTTTTTCTTCAGACTCCAGAAAATGGGGAAAAACGTCCACCTGTGCCAAAGGCCACGCCCGCTCCCCGTACAACTGCCAGTAAGAATGGCTCCTCTGCAACTGCTGCAGGCAAGACTGCAGGTACGAGGATACAGTGCAGCATCAGTTCCTTTGCTGCACCTGCAGCATATCTGACTGTACCGGTTTGCATGATATGAAATAAGATAAGATAAGATAAGATCACCTTTATTAGTCACACATGTGGGAAATTTGTTTTGTCACAGCAGAAAGTAGAATCTGCCGTTCCTTACAGTATCTCAACATATCCTCTGTAACAGGAAACTTCAATTTGCTGCTGTAGCTCGAACAGTGACTTGCATTGCACACTGGCGCTGCTCCAGGCTGCATCAACAGGCTAACTGAATTGCTACCATGTGTTAGACTTAATCAGATTCAAGTGCTGGCTTTTGAAGAGCCCAACTGGTATTTTTGTCTGCACATGACAAACAGTATCTCACCTCTCAGAGCAAGGGAGATATGAGCTTTTTGTGTGTACCCTCACACAATATGATTCAGTCACCCAGTTCACAGCATTAGGTGTTATGTGCTGCAGGGTTTATGTTTCATTTTAGCTGCATGAGTGCTCCATTACTCTTTGAGACTTTTGCCCCAGTGTCAACAGTTATGTCCAAGTCCATGATGTTTCTGTCACATCACAGCAGTATTACATACTGCGGCTTTATCAAAAACTGTACATACAGTTACTGGAAACTCATGTTATGCAGTTAACAAACTTCATGTCACCAGAAATTTTTGAGTTTCTGTCTCATTTTGCCTTTAAGCCATCAGCTCTGCAATATTGTAGTAAAAGAAATATGTATGGGCAGAACATATCAGTTAAATAATCACATCCTTGCCAATAAAACCTAAAAGTAGGTGTGATAAATTCAAACTACATCATATAGAAACATATAATATAGTGATAAACAATAGTGTGCACCCACAAAGCTTAATTAAACACAATATTAACAAAACATTTTCAGTTTTAGTCTTTGATTATTTGATCAGTCTGTAAGTCAGCTGATTTGGTTGTCGGGTCTGTATAATCATATCTATTCTAAATGTATTTTACTTTGCCTAAATATTGCATGTAAATATAAATATTTGAAATACTACAAAATAAACTAAAATGATCAAAACTAATCCGAAAAGTAACCAAAACCAAACGACACTAAAAAAAATGTGACAAGTTCATCCAAGTTTCCTTGTCTTTCGGAAATAACGAGTAAGAAAACAACTTTACAGCAAGGTAAGAATGGCAGAGCCGTGATTTAGCGCTTCTAAATTTACCGTGTGTTAGTACGGTAACAGTTTTCTGTAACATCAGCTAGACAGGAGGTGACAACAGCAGTGAATGTACATGTCTATTCTTCACTCTCTTTATAGCTTTGAAACAAATAACTCATGAGATGCTGAATATTGAAGTCTCAGCTCAAGTTAGTCATTAATGTTGTCTGTCATATTATTGGATCATTACTATAATTTAATGTGAAAAGAAGTGTCCTATTCAACAGGGTGTTTATATATATATATATATATATTTTTTTTTTTTTTTTTTTCATGCTCACCTTTCCACTCTTTTTCACTTAACCTAATATATATTCTATATTCCTTTTCTTCCTCTTCTTTCTGGAGCATTAAAATAAGTACCCTAACTCCTCGCAACCTTAAGCCTATTTTTGGAACGGCTAGAGGGGCACCACCTGAGGCTGGAAATGCCTCATTATTTTTTTTGTATTGCTACCTAAAAATTATGGTGAAAAACCTGTTTTCTGTTTTCCACTTACAGCCAACAAGAACGACAAAACTGAGAACAAGACCAGTGAGGCCAAGAAACCCAAGACTACACGTAAGTAACATAAAATACTTAAAATAACAGGTTAATTTTGGGGGGGGGGGGACCACTTTAGGACCACTTTGAGGTATTTTATCAAAGCAGGGACCAGCATGGTAACACAAAATTCTGGGCCCAAACATGGGAGAAGGTTACCACCAAAATTTCAGATGCAGCCCGAAAATTTTGTCCCCCATGATTTTATTCAAACACTGGCAGAAGTGTCACAACACTGGTAGAACTGGGGTAATATAGAGCAATAAGTATGTTAGATTAAATAATTAAGCGACATATTTTATTGTATAAGCATTAAATGTAATAGAGAGAAAACCCCAACAATCAGACAAACCCCTGTGAGCAAGCACTTGGCGACAGTGGGAAGGACAAACAATGCATACTTTCATAAGAAGTAAATGACATAGTGGTAGGCTTTTACATTTTCACAAATTTTACTATATTATACTAGAATATAAATTATTATACTATTATAGTGATATATAAATTATACTTATTATACTTTCTGTTTCTCTGTAGCCCGTCCTCGCCCAGCCTCAACCGCCGCTCCTGCTACTCCGGCTGCTTCCACCAATGGAGAATCCAGTGCCACTCACCGCCGTCGGGTCATCACCAAACCCCCTGTGCCCAAGCAGACTCCCCTGGATAAGAAACCAGCTGTTCCCCGTGCTCCCCGCACCCCCCGACCCATCAATGCTCCGACACCAGATCTAAAGAACGTCCGTTCCAAGATTGGTTCTATTGACAACATCAAGTACCAGCCTGGCGGAGGAAAGGTAAGACAAAGAGACAGCACAAGAGAGGACTATGAATAATTCAGGACGGTGATGTACCTGTCAAGATTCATGAATGAATGCTTTTCTTGTAACAGCGAATGATTTGGCGATGGGTGGTTTGTACTTTAAATAGCGCATGTGTGTTATACAGCATAATAACATGAATTAATTCCTTTACTCTGGGATTGAGATTGGATGTCAGAATATATTTAATTTAACCTCTGCATATTTCGTAGTTGATTTACAGTTTTTCTTTCTGGTCATTCTGAAACAGATAACATTTTTTAAATAGATAAAAGTAGTGTTGAAAAATGCTGAATTCAAAGCATTTCAAGTGTTTTACCTTAAACTTAACTGTATAATAGGTCCTGGTACAAACTCTCTGAACAGTACTGCAAATCTTTCTCGCAGTAGAAGTAGATTTCCTGAAACATTGTAAATGTGTTCCTGGATCCTCATAATTCTGTACAAACAGTGCCGGTGCCTGGAGTGCAGAAACGATCAGATGACTGCATGCTCTGACTCTGCGGAAAACACTGGATTCAGTTATATTTGCAGTGCCGTACAGCTGTTGGCACGGTGCAGCTATGGTTAGACCTACAGTAGAGAAGAAAACTAGTAATCAATCAATCAATCAATCAAAGATTTATTCGCCACGCGCAGGTTGTCCTGCAGTGAAATGGGACCCCCCCCCCTCGACCTTGCACACACAACACAGACATTACATGGGGATACAAGTCGGACATCGGTAGCGTTACAGAAAAACACTGAAATGTACACTACAGTGGGAAAGTACAAGAGGAAAAA